GCTCCGGGCGGGACCCACCGCAGAGGGCGAGGGCGGCGAGGAGCAGGAGCTGCAGCATGGTGCGGGATGSAGCGCGGTGTCCGCGGTGAGGCCGAGCGGCCGCGCCGCCGCCGCTTTAACGGGGCCAGGGGAGGAGGCGCGGGAAGGGCCGCAGGTGCCGCGGCCCCGGCGGGCGGCCTTGGCCCCCGTGCCAAAGCACACACGGCCCGAGGCGCCCCAGGGACACCCCGAGCGCCCCTCGGCTCCGGGCCCGGGCAGGCGCTGCCCCGCGCCGCCACCTCGCTGTCGCCGTGTCCCGGAGCGATGTCGCGGGTTTGGCCCGGGCTCGGCCCGAGCGGGTCTTGACTGCGGCTCTGCCCGGCCGGGATTTGTGCGGCGCTTCCGAGAGTTTGATCCGACAGCTGAACGGAGCCGGGCCTGGCTGGGCTGGGGAAACTGAGGCACAAACCAGGCACGACCTTCGTCCTCTCCCCAAACACCCAGCAGAGCCAGCGCTGGGGCAGGGTTGAGCTCGGCATCCCCTTGACCTGATTTTGGGGCTGAAATAATTAAATAATACGTATTTAATTAATAAATAACAATAAATAAGGAATAAATAAATAATACTGAATAATAATAAATAGTAATAAATAATAATAATAAATAATAAATAATAATAATATATAAATAATAACAAATTAATAAATAAATAATAAATGAATAAGAAATAAAAAATGAGTAATGAATTTTGGGGCTGTGGTTTTAAATAAACCTGGATTTGGTGAGAAAATGGTGTGTTTTCCCCCCTTTACCTCAAAATTAAGGCTGTTTTCAGGGGAACCTTGGCCCTCAGGGCACGTTTGGGATCACGGGGGCCATTGGGGTCACCCAGGTCGACAAAATAGAGGCAATGAAAAGCAGCTGCTGCAGTTCTGCCCTTATCKGCAAGGAAAACAGGAGATTGCACAGGAGCACGATCTCCAAATAATCCCGTGTTTGTTCTCCCGGCACCAAGGACACGCGGAGAGGGACGGCAGCAACGGCTCCACCCACACCGGGACACCCCAAACCTGAGCTGATCCCCCAAACGTGGCACGGGGGGCTATAAACACATTTTTGGGCTAAAAGGATGGGATTTATTGATTAATGAGATTTTTGTGCTTTTGCTTTGCGCAGACAGGAGTTGGACAGAATGATCCCCGTGTGTCCTACCCCCAGCTCCAGATGTCCCAAAATTCTGTGGGACAGACCCAGTGGGTCCCTTCCAACTCAGGATATCTGTGATTCTGTGATTCTGACATTAGGGAGATTTGGACAACACTCCAAAGTGGACATTGGTTCCATGGTCCTGGACATCAGGGAGCTTCGGACCACACCCTTGGACATTGGGATTTTGGGGATCTTTGGGGCTGTCCTTTGCAGCACCGAGAGGTGACCGTGACCATCCAGGGCCCTTCCAGCCCTGGTTATTCCATGATCCAAGAGGTCAGGAAACTTTTTGACACGTGGACACTTTGAATATTGGGATTTTCCATCAATGGATTTTGGGGTTTTCCTGTGCATGGCCAGGAGCTGGACACGATGATCCCCGTGTGTCCAACCCCAGCTCCAGATGTCCCAAAATTCTGTGGGACAGACCCTTCCAACTTGGGATATTTGTGATTCCCTGGTTTTGGACATCAGGGGGCTTTGGACCACACCCTTGGACATTGAGATTCTGGGAATCTTTAGGGTTGTCCTTTGCACAACCAAGAGTTGACCTTGACCATCCCCATGGGCCCTTCCAGCTCTGGTTATTTCACAATCCAAGAGGTCAGGGAGCTTTTTCACAACGAAAAACTCTGAAAACACCTCGAATATTAACTTTTTCCATCAATAGGTTTTGGGATTTTCCAGTTCATGCCTCGATGCTCCCCGTGGATCCCCCCAATGTTAATCCCCCATGACCCCCCCAAGCCCCGTGAGGTTCCGGGGAGCCTTTCCGGGGGTTTTGGGGGTTCCGGGGTGCACAGCGGATGCTGCCCGGCCTCGCCTCCCACTTCCTCTGTCAAAACCCTACAACGGCAGCAGCGGGCGGGGCCGGGCCGGGCCGGGGCCATGGCCGAGGGCAGGAGCGGCAGCGCCGGGCTCTTCGCCAGGCAGGTCCAGAAGCGCTTCAGCCGAGCCCAGGAGAAGGTAGGTGGGCACCCCAAAACTGCCCCTGTNGCGCTGCCCCGCGCCGCCACCTCGCTGTCGCCGTGTCCCGGAGCGATGTCGCGGGTTTGGCCCGGGCTCGGCCCGAGCGGCCTTGGCTGCGGCTCTCCACGATCGGGATTTGTGCGGCGCTTCCGAGAGTTTGATCCGACAGCTGAACGGAGCCGGGCCGAGCTGGGCTGGGGAAACTGAGGCACAAACCTTGCACGACCTTCATCTGCTCCCCACACCCCCAGCACAGCCAGCGCTGGATCAGGGCTGGGCTCGGCTTCCCCAGGGCCTGATTTTGGGGCTGAAATAATGAAAAAATAAGTATTTAATAAATAAATAAATAACAATAAATAAGGAATAAATAAATAAACAAACAAACAAATAAATAAATAAATAATATTATAATATATTATAATAATAAATAATAATAATTATAAATAATAATAAATAATAATAAATAAGAACAAATTAATAAATAAATAAGAAATGAATAAGAAATAAGAAATTAATAATGAATTTTGGGGCTCTGGTTTTAAATAAACCTGGATTTGGTGAGAAAATGGTGTGTTTTCCCCCCTTTACCTCAAAATTGAGGCTGTTTTCAGGGGATCCTTGGCCCTCGGGGCACGTTTGGGATCACGGGAGCTGTGGGGTCACCCAGGTCAACAAAAGTGAAGGCAATGAAAAGCAGCTGCTGCAGTTCTGCCCTTATCTGCAAGGAAAACAGGAGATTGCACAGGAACACGATCTCCAAATTATCCCGTGTTTGTTCTCCCGGCACCAAGGACACGCGGAGAGGGACGGCAGCAACGGCTCCACCCACACCGGGACACCCCAAACCAGAGCTGATCCCCCAAATGTGGCACGGGGGGCTATAAACACTTTTTTGGGCTAAAAAGATGTGATTTGTGGATTAATGAGATTTTTGGGGTTGTGCTTTGCTCAGACAGGAGTTGGACAGAATGATCCCCGTGTGTCCTACCCCAGCTCCAGATGTCCCAAAATTCTGTGGGACAGACCCAGTGGGTCCCTTCCAGCTCAGGATATCCCAAAATTCTGTGATTCTGGAATCACATCAGGGAGCTTTGGACAACACTCCAAAGTGGACATTGGGATTTTGGGGATCTTTGGGGCTGTGCTTTGCAGAACTCAGAGATGACCGTGACCATCCAGGGCGCTGTCAACTCTGGTAATTCCATGATCCGAGATATCAGTGACCTTTTTCACAACAAAAACCCCGGGACTCCTCAAATATTAGGTTTTTCCATCAATAGGTTTTGGGGTTTTCCTGTGCATGGTCAAGAGCTGGACACGATGCTCCCCGTGTGTCCTACCCCAGCTCCAGATGTCCCAAAATTCTGTGGGACAGACCCAGTGGGTCCCTTCCAACTCGGGATATCCCAAAATTCTGTGATTCTGGACATTAGGGAGATTCGGACAACACTCCAAAGTGGACACTGGGATTTTGGGGATGTTTGGGGCCGTCCATTGCAGAACCGAGAGGTGACCGTGACCATCCCTATGGGCCCTTCCAGCTCTGGTTATTCCATGATCCAAGAGGTCAGGGAGCTTTTGGACAACAAAAACCCCTGGACATTTTGAATATTGGGATTTTCCATCAACGGATTTTGGGGTTGTCCTGTGCATGGCCAGGAGCTGGACACAACGATCCCCATGTGTCCTACCCCAGCTCCAGATGTCTCAAAATTCTGTGGGACAGACCCTTCCAACTTGGGATATTTGTGATTCCCTGATTTTGGACATCAGGGAGCCTTGGACCACACCCTTGGACATTGGGATTTTGGGGATCCTTTCCAAAATCCCAATGTCCTTTGGGATTGTCCTTTGCAGAACCGAGAGGTGACCTTGACCATCCCTGTGGGCCCTTCCAGCCCCTGGTAATTCCATGATCTGAGATGTCAGTGACGTTTTTCACA